TCTAGGTGTAGCGTATAGGAAAGAACCGCTCAGGTTTGGTGGTGACTATATACTTGGGGGTACGACTATACCCATTCCTCGGCTCGTCTGACGAGATTTCTCAGCGAGTGGGCTATTTTTGAGGAGAAGTGTAAAAATCAGAGGCTCAATGCACAGGATGGTGGGTCGCTGAGATGAGACCGAGGATGTTCGGGGGCCGGAGGACAATGAGTCAAAATACGAAGTGAAGACTTGTGCAGGCGGTAAGGACGCTCCCCTGGACTACGGACTCCCTTTGACGCTGAGGTTGTCACATCCACTTGTCAAGTGGGCTGAGCTTTCGTCAACGCCAAAGGCGTGGAAAGAGATGATGAAGCTGTCTAATGGGCAGTTGAAAAAGAATCTCTTTGAAGGTGAGTTTCAAGATGTGTTCATGGGAGATTTTTCGTTCGTATCTTTTGGAACGCTGTCTGTAACGGGCTGAGCCCTAGGTCACATGACTAGGCCGCTGGCCTAGTCGCTTCCTTCCTTCTATCACTCCTTCCCCCAGCAGCCCGTGCGCCGTGCGCCAACCCAAACAAAGCGGGATGGCCGCCCACTTTCCTCTTCTTCTCTTCATCTCGACTGTAAATAGCATCTGGATTAGGTAGCTAGAATACAGTACCTACAGACCGTTCACACTGTCGATGAATAAGGCGAGGCGGTTTGGGCAGACTCCGCAACAATCAATCGGATCGGCATGATTGATTCCTATCTAGGTTAAAGGCTGCCTAATGAAGTAATTCTTTAACCTATATAGGAATCAATCATGTCAATCGATTGATTGTTGCGGAGTCTGGGTTTGGGTTTTTTGGGTTTGTGGATACGCTTGAGAGTGTTTTTGAGATGTTTCAGGACATGGGGATGCTTGGTGTGTTGCCGCCTATGCAGGTTGATTCTGCAAAGCCGTTGGTCTAAGTTTGACCTATCTCGATGCAAAAGACCCGTATGGATCAATCTAGCGCTTTTCTGCAACACAGTGTATGTGCGATATCGTTGCTTTTGCTTTTATCTTGATTGCAGCTTTGTCGATATCACTCATGAGCACGAGCGCCTTGGTTCTATGCAAGTTGGCACTTTTCGCTTGTTCGTCAAACAAAGTGCTGATCACGGGCCTATTGAAAAATCAGGCGATGAGAGCAGTACTGGAACTGTCGAGACGCGATTCAGAGCTTTCATTGATATTTACCGTGACTCTGGCTTTCCGTGCTCTAACTAGCCAGGCACCGATTGGTGAGTTCCACGGTGCGCGCACACTGAAGATATTTTCCCTCCTCATGTAGCTCCAATATACCCAGTCCACAGACGTATTCTCTACATCTATCAGAACAAAGCACGTCGTTTTCTAGTTATTCCTAGGAGAAGAGGCTTTGTAAGTGTAGCTGGCTGAAAGCGGTGTACGATGTTGTTGCTTGCATGGGTATGTTTCTGAGGCAAACTAGGTACAAGCAAATAAGAGAAGTACCCGTTCCTATGCTGCTACCAAGGTCAACGTAGACACTTAAAAAAATCGCAGTTTTGACTACGAGTGAGCGCAGGACAGCAATCAAAGCCTCGCCTACTAAGGTTCTCTTTGCTAGGGTATCCTTGTCTCTATAACGCTCCTGCTGCGCAACTCGGAGCGGCCGTGTTGGTCTGGCATACTTCAAAGCGCTACGCGACGATCTCATCCTTGAAGCCATTCTCAGCAACTTCAAGTTCGTGTCGCATAATGTCGCTGCAAGGCGAAGGTGCTGGTGGAGGCGGCACTCGGCACACGCTACAGGGCTGCGACGTTTTTACGTAAGCTCTCCCACATCTTTTCTTTTGACCGCCCCACGAGTAATAAGAACAAATATCGTTTGCGCGCGGTCATGTTTCTGCTAAAGTGATGTTGTTCAGAGAACCCTCCTTGCGTATTGATTCTTCTATTCTTGTCCGTCCAGGAGCGCAATGGCGCGGACGGAAATAGGAACCGTCTAGCCGTTTTCGGCTAGATACCCGTCATTCGGCCCTTTTTCACCACCACTGCATCATCGCTCATGATTCGAGATTCAGGCAAATGCATCGCACGAGCCTTGTTTCCCTGCGCCCATTGTGGCGCGCCTCGGTTCTCGGGACCAAAACGTGGATATGCAGGGAACGACCATAGTCCACGCCCATATTCAGACAGCAGTAGTGGGCTCCGTTGCATTGCACGGTGATGCCGAGGGAAATCACACCTTCTACTGCGTAAAGCCTTAGAGAGACGAGGAGGTGTGCCTCTGTATATAAGGAGCGCGCAGTCTTCATTGTAGAACTCACCATCCAGCCACCTCACCATCGCTTCGATACCTAATAATCAATCTTTTAATTCCACTCTCACTACCTCATCAACAACCCCCAACACCACCAACCGCAAACATGAAGTTCACCACCACCGCCGCCATTGCTACCGCAGCTGCCGTTGTCTCTGCTCTTCCCCAAGCCAACACTCAATCCCCCAAGATCACCGACGGCGCCTTCACTCTCATGAGCCTTCGCACCGGTACTCCTATCCAGTTCGGCAACGTCCAAGCAGCAGACAGCTCCCTCTACATCAATGCGAAGGACCTGAACTTCAGATGCGGCACCACAGGTCCCAACGCACAATTCGGACTCTCCAACGGTACCCTTAGCCTGTGGACCAACATCCCCCCTCAGGTCATGTACGTCGACCGCTCCGGCATGGGCCAGGGTGTCCTCAAATATACCACCGGTGTGGAGCCTCTCCCCAAGAACGCCGAACGCCAGGGATGGGTCCTCGACGAGCAGAACCAACTCACCTTTGTCTCGCCCGCTGGTGACAAGTACGGCCTCCAGGCGTGCAGTGGTGCTGCCAACGGTGGTTACAAAATCTGGCTCTCAGGCACACCCAACCCCGCTGGCAACACCGACTGCATTCCCTTCTCTGCTCAGGCTCTCAAGGTGGAGAACCCCCAAACCTGCATGTACACTTAGAGTGTCCACAACCACCACCACCTGCGCACGGTGTCCTGATGAAGTAACCCAGTATTGATATTTTGAGACTCGAACGATATGACATGGATCATGGCCCCCCCCCCACTCTCGTTTTACACACACGTACATAACAAACCACCACACTCGTTTAGTAGACATTTTGCGGATGCATTTAGATGGAGTTCAATAGACTGCAGGCATTTTGCCTACCCCTTACTACCTACTTCTGCTTTGATGTGATGTGTTTGATTTTTCCCAGCGATTGATAGGTGGTTGACGGATGGATATCTAGTAGTTTTATCCAGAGATTGGGTGTCAAAGTCGCTCCTCCGCAATGTCCCAGGTCCGTGCTGAGTGCCGCCGATGCTAACTCTTTGTATGCCTTTTATCAATATGTTTGTTTGTAGAGCCCTTTAAGCTGGCGGGAGCTTTTATCTTGTTAATTTTATTTTTGTAGTTTGAAAAACTTCTTCATAGATCATCATAAGTCATACAGAGAGCGGGTAGGTTTTGTGACACCTTTACGTATCATTGTGCGACTATTCAGGTCCCATAACTCGATGTTCCAGCAGTCGGTTTGGAACATAATGTACGATGAGAGCAAATAAACATGGCATTTCAAGCGGATCTTGGGGGGTTATGAGTTTGAAATCTTGATCAGAAGCAAGTGCCGAGTGGAAGAAGAGTAATTGTAACGGTAAGAAGATGGGATGGTTGAAGTGAGATGCCGGGCTGGCGGTGCAGAGATTCACGTCCGTTCGTGTGGCTGGTCAGAGTGATAAACGCTATCAGGCCAAATCTAGCAGATGTTTCTCTGAGTGGTAAGCGTATTCGAGCTTCGTCTAGGGTATTGCTAGCTGGTGGCTAGCTGAAGATAGAAAACAGCCTGTATGGATATGCCTGTGTGGCAGAGAATCTGCCCACCGCATTTTCGTGTTGCCAATAACTTGGCGATATTGTGGCGCCGAAAGGCTGAAGCCAACGTAAGTGTTAGTCCTACTCTAATCTCTTCAGCCCCGCGAAGCGCACTTTTTTGGCTCGCACAGAACGCGATTAGAACTATAGGGGCCCGTATGTTAGTGCTATGTGCGCAGATGCCAGAAGCATAACGGCTATGTGAAATATGAAGACGACCCATATTATTGGGGAACTGAGTGGGCGAAATCGTTGTTTGTATTGAGAACAGCGAAGGACTAGCTATATAGGTGCGGGGTGAAGCCTAGAAGAGGCTAGCCCCTAAGCAGAAGGAGCTAGTCCTATAAGAGGAGAGCTAGCTGGTGAGAAATGAATGCATGGAGACTGGCTTGCCCGGCCGACACATATCTATATTTATATACCGATGAAGTGGTGCACAGTGGTTCCATGAGCCGTACGATCCGTTCTGAGTTAGTTAAGGCGTAGTTGTGGTTTTTCGTAGGCGCAATCTTGATGTGAAGGCTAGACTAGGAGAGGCTGGAGTCATGCACAATGTCGCCCCGCGTGTTGGCATTGCCCCACACATGCAGTCTAATCGCACGTCGCGCGTCTCTCGTCCAATGTCAATCTTTCGTTCGCCCTCCATGCTGCATAACTTCCAACGGGACGAGATGGCTAAATGCCAGCATGATAGAGCTGATGTTGCGGTTTGTGAGGCAAGGGTATTGCGCATGTCACGTGCGTTGTCCTGGCGCTCCTCCCTCCCCTCTATGAGCACCTTCTCCCCTCACCAGCATTAGAGATACGTTATGTAAATAGACCCTAATTATGACTACATATAAGGTGGCCATGACAGCACAACAACAACAGAACACAATATACTCTGATGACTGCCTCGCGCGGTTACACTTTGATTAACTGCATATACTGCAACAGCTGAACATGCCTAGGGCGAAGCCACCACTGCACCGTCTACATGCAAGTATCGTGCTGAATGCGTCTGCTCCTGGAACACGACTTCATTGGCACCTTGCATATACGCAGGTGGAGTCAATGTCACATGCATAGGCATTAATGCAGTCGTACTTGCTTCCCCAACCCCATATTTCCTTCGTGTGCGCGCAAAGTTTTCATCTCCTTAACGGCACCACGGTACCCATTCTCGGCGTACCAAACTAAAAGACTATCGATTACATAATTTTGACGAGAGCTCTACCCAGCTTGTTCACTCCTACCTCCCAACCTGTATTTGCCACTTCCCGCCCGACGCCTCTGAACAAAAGCACCCACTTGCTTACCCTGAACCCTTCATTCATTGCGTAGTTTGCCGTTCATCTTTGCTTACTATCTGCTTCTCAACACTCCATTCAGATCTCCAAGATCGACCAGTACTGTGGTTGTGTTTTCCGCAACGTTCACTGTAATTCGCAGAAACCTCATGTCGGAAACTGCTGCAGATGAGGGGGGTACCGAGACTACGTACAGGGAAAGAATCGGCTTTAACCGTTTATCACCGGATAATAAGTCAGTCTCCAAGTTTCCTTTAACGTTTCCCATTATTACTTCTCACATAAACATACATGTCACTATATAGGTCTGCGCATATCAACAGTTATTATGATCGTAATGTAATCTAATGTTTGGGGCAGATGGTGAGAAATCAAGAGGGATCTGTCCACTGTCCTCCAAAGTGGTTTCCCGCTAACATCTTCGGTCTCCATGAAGAATTATAACCTTGTTCATAAGTTTTTCTTCTGCCAAACTCGTGGGTGGCTGATTTCTGGGCAAATTCTATACGAGAGCCTTGACCAGTACGTAAAGCTCCATTTGAAGGAGGTGTGGAGGCAATCTAGTGATAAAGAGGGTGTGACTCTGATCCAATCCTATGATCAAGAGTGGAAGCGATTCAAAGCTGCTTCTAGACTCCGCAACAATCAATTCAATCCGGTCACTCTCCTAGACCCACTTACCTATCTAGGTAGGGCTTAAACTCCTATAGGTAACTACTAGGCTTAAAGCGGTAATCAATCAATCCAATCTGAACCTTCTAGGACCCACTTAATTGATTGTTGCGGACTGTGGCTGCTTCTAAGACGATTGTTGGTTGGTTTAGAATTTTGCAACGATATTGGATAAAACGCCAGCAAGACGAAGGGAATATCACCGTACACGATCTCTATACGCTTCTACTACTGCGCTGGAAGGAAAGTGTGTCTACAAACCTTGGGCAGAAGCTAGTGGACTCGCTCCTCACCCTCATCAAAGCTCAGCGGGACCACACGTGTATTCCAGAAAGGTCCAATAGAGGATATACGTCACAGAAAGGCGACGGTTCAGCACAGCTCGATGCTGATCACAGTCCGCAACAATCAATTAAGTGGGTCCTAGAAGGTTCAGATTGGATTGATTGATTACCGCTTTAAGCCTAGTAGTTACCTATAGGAGTTTAAGCCCTACCTAGATAGGTAAGTGGGTCTAGGAGAGTGACCGGATTGAATTGATTGTTGCGGAGTCTAATGCTGATTCAGCCTCGAAGCCGCCTGACCTGCAAAGACCCAACCAGACTTCTTTGATTACATCTGTCATCGAGTCATTCATCTTCGTTAGTCCCGACAAACCCAATAGCAGGTGCGGCGACCTCTACATAGACTACTTCAAACAGGCATTCCCAGACTCCGCAACAATCAATCCAGATTGGTCAGATTGATTGATTTGATTGGTCATTTGGAGTTTTTACCAACTCAATCAACTCAATCTAAGCTTTTCAAAATAGCTAATCAAATCAACTTGCGAAGGTCAGATTGATTGATTTGATTAGTTAGATTGATTTATTATTAACGAGTTGTAAGGCGAGTAGTGTCGTATTAAGAGAAGGTTTTTGGTGTTGAAGATAGTTATCTTGGACCCCTATCTCGCTTAGCTTGTGATCCCTGTCGGCCGGGCAAGCCAGTCTCTATGCATTCACTTCTCACCAGCTAGCTCTCCTCTTATAGGACTAGCTCCTTCTGCTTAGGGGCTAGCCTCTTCTAGGCTTCACCCCGCACCTATATAGCTAGTCCTTCGCTGTTCTTAATACAACAACGATTTCGCTCACTCAGTTCCCTAATAATCCCTTACACACAACACTAGTTGCCTAGCTACCTATACAGACATTTTTCTTTAGTGTTTAGTATCGCCCACGATGGCCAAACGCTCTCGAGTTCCCACCAATACTGCTGCCGCCGCCGCCGCCGCCAAACGGGCGCGCCTATCAAGGCCCTCTGTCCTATCTCAGCGATCGCTGTCGCCTCAGGAAACCCTTGGCGCCGCCGTAAGCCAGGCCACAACGTTTGAGTCGCAATTTTTCGAGTCGCAAACAGAGGAGGAGGGTGCGGCTGAGGGCAGCCAGGCTGGTACAGCAGCAACAACAGAGGCTAGTGTTGATACAGAGCCTGATAATGGCGATAACTTTGACGGCATTAACTGGGATCGCCTCCCTCGGTTCATGAAGCCTCTTACAACTGGGCGGCGCGTCAAGAGTTGGATCTTTCAACATGGATATCGCGTTGTTGAGCTCTACGATCAGAATCGAGTGTGGTTTGTATGCAAATACTGCCACATCCACAAGGTCATTGACACTGGCGGCAGTGGAGTTTTTGACGTATCAAAGGCCACCTCCTCAGCTGCAGCCAGTGATCGGAATGGTCTGGTCTGGTCTGGTCTGAGGGTACAGACCAGACCAGACCAGGTGCTTACATAAGGACCGGTCCGACCAGACCGGTCCGACCAACAAGACCGCCAAGAATGAGGCTGAAGCAAAGAAGGAAGCCGAGGAAATGTGTTTTACTACTGACTGTCAATCTAGTCGTCTTCGTTCTCACTATCCTCGATATCGCTGTTCCCCTCAGCTTGGGGCTTTCCATACCAGGCCCGGAGACACTCGCACGCTTCTATAATATCTGCCTTCAGCCTACCAGACTTTCCAACAAGCAAGTAAAGCAAGTCACCGCTCTAAACTTGACTTGCTTGGTTCAAACATAGGCTTTACTTGACTTGCTTGGGGTGATTTTTTTACTTGCTTGACTTGCTTGTATTACTTGCAAGTACTTGGATTACTTGACTACTACAAAGAGATTAAGCTACATACAAATTACCAAAACTCAGTGTTCCACTCTAGTATGTTGTAATCTCCTACAAGCTGCTCATCTGAAAGCTTAGCCTCGCTACAGTTGTACGGTTTATAACCAGCTCGCACCCATGACCTTACTAATTGAAGAGCTGCGAGTAGCTCACTGCCCAGAGCACGTCGTTTAGGTTCAAGAAGGTCGCCAAGCTCACTGAAGAGGCGCTCACAGTCGCTGCTTGATGCTGGGATAGTCATGATATCGATTGCAAACTGCGCTAAATGCGGGTATTTCGGCAGTAGTTGTATCCAGTATTGGACAGGATTTCCATCTGCGTTGTACTGCTCCTGCGTCCACTGCGGCTCTTGTGTTTTCCAGCGCTCAAACTCGTCAAGTGGAGCCTCTCGGTCATTGTTGCGGCTAAGTATAGCAATAATTGCCTCGTCTATGTTGTTGCTACTCGGCGCAGTTGTATACCGCTGGCGTGCTCGTTGAGGTTTGTATGCCGCCCAAAGCTGTTGGAACGACGCGTTGGCACTAGTAAGCCAATCAGCTTTGTCTGCCCACGCCACATCGCAGTAGTTCTTGTAGTACGGGTGTAGGCAAACAGCGGCGTAGTAAGCGGGCGAGTCGTCGAGCTTGTTGTAGTAGTCGTTGGCTTTGCTCCACGCGGCGCGGAGGTTGACGTTGAGGTGATCCTCTGGAGCCTCGGCATGAGCGTTGAAGTCGACGTGCTCGAACGGGCGCGCCCGGGCCTCAAGCTTGCTGAGTACGTACTCAAAAACGGGTATAACCTCATAGATTGCGCCGTATTTGCCATCCTTAGAGCGTCCCTCGAGGCGTTTTGTGGCGTACTTGAGCGGCTCTAAGCAGTCCTGGTACTCTGCAATCACCGCCCAGTCAGCAGCTCGGAGCCCAGTTGATCTCATCCAGTTTGGGGCGTCGGGCCGCTTATTATTCCGCTGCGCAGCGTGCGCATCTTCAAGGATAACCCTATTGATATGATGCTCAGCGTACAAGTTATACGCGGCTTGAAGCTTGGTAGCGCGCTCAAAAGCAGCATAGTATGAGTTCCAGCGAGTGACGACAGGCTTGACTGGCTCGAGTACTTTGAGACGCCCTTCAGCAGGCAGGTTGTTGTTGGCAAGGCGCTGGTAGCCACGAAAAAGCTCGTACTGTTGCGGCGTTTTGATATAGTTGATGACGTCAACTAGCACTCCAATAGGGCCATCTTTCCGCCACTCTCGCATATACTGCTCCTCGGTATTGTACTGCTCTTGAGTGTTGCCGTAGGCGTCTTTGTTGGTGCCAAATATAATAGCCTGGCCGATGAGGTTAAGCGTGTGACAACTGCAGCGGAGGCGCCGGTGAGCGGACTCAAATTCGTACTCGCGCGCGAGCGCGGCGATCGCAGTGTCGTTGTTGGTAGCGTTGTCGAGTACAAAATAGCCTAATCGGTCGCTTGTTATTCCGTATGCTGAGAGCGTCGTCGAGATAGCTTTGGCAATAGCCTCACCGGTGTGGGCGCCAGCGAGCTCAGGCAGATCGATTGGTAAGTCTCGTATTATTCCAGCTGCGTCGGCAAAGTGAGCGACTACTCCAAAGAAGCCACGTTTACCACCCTTTGTTGTCCAGCCATCAAAGCTTACGTGTATTTTGCTTACTGAGCCTGACAGGGTGTCGATAACTTGCGGTCGTATAGACCGGAACAACCTCATCACAAAGGTAGAAACGCTGGTATTACTTACCCACAACGCTGCCTCTGCCTCTGGGTTGGCAAATCTCATCATCTCTCTAAAATCAGGCGTCGTAAGTTCGCTGAGCGGGTGGTTTCGGTTAACAAGCCACATGACAGTGGCTGTTCGAAAGCCCTCTACGTCGAAGTTTCCAAACGCGTTAGCAGTGTTTTGTTGTACGTCTAAACCAGCGTCAAAAGCTTGCCGCAACGACAGCTGGCCTCGAGCTCTCTGCGCTAACTTTGGGCCATCTTTCGTAAGGTTGTGGCCAGGCTTTGGTTGGCTGAGATGGGTGGCTGCTGAGGTTGTAGCCTGAGTAATGTTAAACAAACCACCACGGCCAGCGTCGATAGTTTTGTGTACATGGCAGTACTTGCACACAAACCAGATTCGAGATGTAGCATGGCGCTCAACAACGCGGTAGCCATACTGAAAGATCCAACTTTTTGGGCGCTTAGAACGCGCCAATGGCTTGATAAAATCAGGTAAACGTGCCCAGTCAATGCCGTCAAAGTTCTCAACTAGTGCGCTGTTTGTCTCATCCTGACCACCCTCTCCAGCCTCAGTTGTAGCCACCGTGCCAGCTCGGCTGCCCTCGGTGGGCGCGACAATCTCAGCCTCCGCCTGCGACTCTAAGAACTGCAACTCGAAGGTAGGTATTGGCGGCGAGGCGTTAGCCTGGCTTGCGGCAGCTAGGGTTTTGCGAGGTGATCGACGCTGAGGTCTAGGCTTAGATGCAGGCTTAGATGCAGGCTCAGGTGAAGCCTCAGGAGTTGAGGCGACGTTGTTGGTGGCAGCGGCTACTTTCGTACGTTTGCTCCGAGCAGAAGTTTGTGGTAGGCGACGTTTGGCCATATTGGGGGTATCAGGGCAGTATAAATCACTGGAAAACGCGTTGCTATAGGGGATACTGCATTGCGATAGGCTTCTAGACAGGCGTACGTCGAGATTGGAGCAATGCGCTAGACTAAGGCTAACGTTATTTGATAGCCGCTTAGCCTGTTTGGGACTCAACCGAGGCAACTGCAACACTTCAAAACCATCGCGACATCTACCGTACAGCAGTTTTAGCACCCTCATCACAGTAACGCTAAAACAACCAAGTAAACCAAGTAAGCCAAGCAAGCAAAGTATCTTGACTTGACTTGCTTGCTTAGCTGCCCAGCTCTTACTTGACTTGCTTGCTTGGTTTAAACCAAGCAAGTCAAGCAAGTAATCCAAGTCAACTTGCTTTTTGGAAAGTCTGTGTATTTGAATACGTACTTGGCGCGCTCGAAGCCCGTACGCGCTCGTACGAGCAAGTTGACTTCAACCCACCTGATGCGCCTGAAGATCACCTCTTTGTTAACCTCCGCGCCGCCTGGAGTAAGGCCAACGATTACTACAACAAGCTCGATCGATCGCCAGCATACTACGCTGCTACCTGCCTCCATCCATACTACAAATACTACTGCGAGAACAGCTGGGTGGATAAGCCAGAATGGCTAACATCAGCCAACGCTGGCTTCCTGCAGCTCTGGCAGTCGTATAAGCCTCAACGTACACGTCCTCTATCTCAAACAACTGCAAAACCAAGGCATAGAGGAATAGATGATGTGATTGGCGCCCTCGTACGGCGCAACAAGGCTCAGGTAGAGGCTGCCCACGACGATGAGTACGAGCGCTGGAGAACTCAAGAGCCAGAGTGGACAAGCGAACAGTATCTTAGCGATGGCCACCCAGTCAAGTACTGGATTCAATTACGCTCAAAATACCCGTGTTTAAGCCAGTTTGCGATTGATATACTCACGATACCAGCATCTAGTTGCGACTGCGAGAGGCTCTTTAGCGAGCTTGGCGATTTACTTGAGCCGCGCCGGCGAGCTCTTGGCAGCGAGTTACTTGCTGCCCTTCAGCTTGTACGTTCGTGGAGACGAGCTGGCTTTGACGGCTTGTACAACAACGGTGATGATGAAGATAAGTGGAGTGACGTCAAAGATGAGGAGATTGTACAACAGTACGATATAGAAGGCTGGAGTACAACACCATAACCCCCTGTATACTACTTCTTAGCATCAATCAGCCAATCAACCAATCAATCGCAATCAATCTGCTCAAAAACCCTAACAATCAATCCGCAATCAATCAGCAGCGTCGCCGCAAGCTAATCAAACCAATCGACAACCTTAAGATTGATTGATTTGATTGTTGCGGAGTCTGCTTATAGGGAACGGAACTTAGGAAGAGCTTATTCCACCCTAGGGTGCAAACCTCGTCACTATAAAATAGGTGTTTACTGTTAAGCTTAAAGTTGATAGTACGATTAAGAGGTTTAAGGCTAGACTTGTTGCTCGAGGGTTCAGTCAACAACACGGGATTGACTACACTAAGACTTTCGCCCCGACAGTACGAATGGACACCTTAAGGTTATTCCTTGCTACTGTTGCTAAACAGGGCATAGAATGCTAGCAGTAGGACATTAAGAACGCATTCACTAAGTTATACTTAAAAGAAGACATCTACCTCACAACACCAGCTGGGGTAAAAGTTAAGAAAGGCAACGTTCTGAAGGTTTTGAGGAGTCTTTACGGACTTAAGCAAGCTAGACGAGATTAGAACCTGCTACTTAAGGGGTTCCTAACTAAGATTGGTTTTACACAGAGCCTTGCAGACCCCTGCCTATTCACGCATAAAGGCAGAGGTATTTTACTACTAGTTTATGTTGACGACATTGCTGCTGCCGCAAAACTCACTTCAGACCTAGCCTGGTTCGACGAAATGCTCCTTACGAGATTCAACTCTAAGAACCTAGGGGAGATTTAAAAGATCCTTAGAGTTAGAGTCACCCGCGATAGAGCTAACAAAGCTATTTACCTTAATCAACAGCAGTACCTAGAGACAGTCCTAGATAAGTACGGTATCACCTTAGCAAAGTACAAGTCAAAGAAGATCCCTGCTGTAGACTACGAACACCTAAAGCCTGCTACTCCTAAAGACGCCAGAATCGACTCTACACAATATTCACAGATTATTGGAAGCTTAATATACGCAATGGTATTCACGAGACTAGACATTGCCTTTGTACTTGGACGACTAGCCCAGTACATGAGAGACCCTGTAGAGATGCACGGGACTGCGTTAAAGAATCTAATGAGATATCTACGGTTAACAGTAAAGCAGAAGATTCGCTTCGGTCTAGGAGGAGATCACTAAAACGAGTTTGGGATCTACACCGACGCTGACTGGGCAAGCGATAAGACAGACTAGAAGAGCATGTCTAGGGGAGTCGGAATGTTCTATAGAGGACTATTCTCTTGGGCAGCAAAGAAGTAGAAGTTAGTAGTAACCTTAAGTGCTGAGTCTAAGTACATCTTACAAGCTATGTACGCTAAGCAGGGACAGTAGGCAGCTTAAGTACTTAGAGATCTCGGCCTGCACCAATACGTTAATAAGAACGGTATCACAGTCCAGATGTACGGTGACAATTAGGGAGCGATTGCACTGGTGAAGAATCCGCATCTGCACGAACGTTCTAAGCACATTGACATCTGCTACTACTTTATTAGAGACCTAGCTGAGCAGAAGAAGCTCTAGATTTCTTATATTCCGACTGACGAGATGGTTGCCGACGGAATGACTAAGCCACTGCAGAGAGTTGCTTTCGAAAGGTTTAAGAAGATGCTGGGAGTTATTGATGAAGGGCACTAGAACAAGTCACGTAAGGCCTGTGGGGGAGTGTTGAGAATACAGTCCGTAAGTGACTTGGTGGTATCAAGCGGAGGAGTAGTCACATGATTGGTGACACGTGCAGGTGGGTCCTAGCGGGGAGCTTGGACGCAGCTGCACGCAACACGGATCTACAAACGTGTGAATAGCTCCTTAGTCAATACAATACGAGTCGTACCACCACTACCGTTGTGCCTTAGAGAGCGCTCTATTAGGTAGTCATACTACTACTAATAGTGCCAGCTTCTCAATACATGCCATAATTACAGCCGCTAACCCCAGCCCCAACGCCGGCGCCACCCAGCACATCCCAACCAGACCCATCAAGCACCCCCCTCCTACTCACCCAAATTCTCAATAATAACACTCCTCCCGAAATTCTTCCGCCTAACAACATAATCCCCACCCCCAACCTCAAACAACGCATCCGTCGTTTCCACAATCGTCCAACCGGGCGCATCCCCCTTTTCCCGCACATCATTCACCTTGACAACGTGATAGCGGTGCGCGGGAGGGATAATCACCTCTGCTACGAAACCATCGGTGGCTGTCTCGCTGCGCTTAAGCACCATGGCATCTGCATACGAGGGGTTGGGGAGGATGATACAACCGGGTTTGAGGTGCGCTTCGAGACCTAAGGCGGATTTGAGGGTTGCGGTATTGCCGGTGTAGGCGATGGATGTGATGGAGTGGATGTTGTAGGTACTGTTGGGTTTGAGGATGATTTTGACGTGGATTTCTCGGGAGGTGTTTGCGGGATGGCGGGCGGGCATGATTGAGAGGGTTGGAGTGTTGAGGCTGTTGATGCGCTCCATCTGGATACATGAACGGTGTTGTTTCGCCAGATGGGTGCGTGCGAGGATCTTTCGGGTGCTCTGTCGTCTTCTTTCTTGACCACCGCGCCGTGCATGCTTGGTATTGACAGCGCCGTGGATTGTTCGGCAATTTTTGATACACTATCCCGGGCAATCGCGTTTGGCGGTCTAATTGCCGTACTCTGTCTCCACAATGTAGTGCATTGCTTGATATCAGGCATCAACATCCGCACGTCCTGAATCGCTTGCAGCACCTTCCTATCAGCGGACTTTCTAGCTAGCCTGCGTCGCTTTACCTCGAGCAATTCATCTACCGCGCGGACAATCTCTGGCTCTATAAGATACTCCCCAAAAGCCTGCGCGAGAAAACCACACATCTTCTCCGCTTTGCTCTTAGCGCACAGGAATAGAAGCTCAAACGCTAGTATAAGCAGGGTTGCAAGAAGCAAGATATACTCAGCATCTTCTTTTAGGACTGCTAGGTTCTCCGTGATGGGAATGTAGCAATGATTGATCTGAAGACAGTGACTTCCCAGTCTGTTGTTGGATCTGTGGCTGAGACTGGAATCAAGGCGTAGACGTCGGTCTTAACGCGTTGTGAGAGTCTAGCAGCGAAACTTTTGAGCGCGGCAAAATTCTTGGGTGTGGGGTTCTTGAAGATCTTTGGTGTTAAGGCGCTGTGAATCGTGTTTACGATTAGCTGTGGGTCTAGGGTTAGCACTTCTCGTGGGCTGGTGTGTATGGAGGTGGAGGCCGTGGGGGCCGTTGAACGGCGGTACATGGTGCTGAGCTATTGATATAAACTTTCTTAAGATGCAATTTCAGTGAGATATAACGAAGTTAATAATCAAGATTGGAGGCGATGTCTTCCATGGCGGAAGCGCACGATGACTCGCTTGTCTTACAGTCGCAACAATGCAGTAGGACATGCAAACTCGTAGTCGGCTCATTTGCGACAACGTGAGACATAGTTGCTGTTCAATCTACCACCCCGTACTTCCCCTGAAAAGACATGCTTGATTTTTCGCGCGGACGCTAGAAATTGCTCTTCAACAGGCGGACAGAACTTCCTGTGCAGACCTCAGTGACAGCATCGGCACTTGTTGGCAAGTATGTTACTAAGCGCAGAATGCTACAGAATATCTCGGCGTGCGATAGAGCATGCAATTTCGCGAATTCTCTGCGGTTTTACTATTTGCGATGTCAGGTAGATCGTGCGTTAGCAGTATCTGTGATCTAGTTCAAGAGTGCGAAGCAGTCCATCTCAAGATGGCAGAAATGTAGACCTTGGCTATGCGCTCGCGCTGAATCGTGGTTTAGGATGCTAAGCCAACTTTTTGAACCCTCAGATGTTGTAGGGGTCCTTGATTTTCCGAAGTGACTGACCATGCTGCGCAGCTGCCGTCCATCACCACCCAACGCAGCGGGTGACCACAGCAAACAGCGGGCCGCCTGAGAGTAGAAATAGTGCCAGAAAACCTTTCTTTTCCTTTGACTTACTATTGTCTCCCAGTATATTCCGCATGTAATAAGAAAATGAGCGCGGCTGCCTGCTGGGGCGACTTCTTGCAGTTTGGTCGTCGTCCATTCTTTCCCTTCCGCATCCACCCACCCCTAAAAATCCAGCGCCCGCCCACCCATCACCACTCGAAAAACACCAGAATATCATTAAGGAGAGGAACCGTTTGCCATATACAGACCATCATGACGCTGCCAACTCGCAGTCAGTTCTACCGCGACTACCTCCAGCCCCTGTGCATCCTGCCCGGCGCGCCCCAGTACGCGGATATCAGCATCTGCGTCGTCTGCCAAGAGGACTTCAACGAAGCGTCCTATGACATGGTGTCGATCCAAGACTGCAATCATATTTTCCACCGCAAATGCCTCATCGAGTGGGCCGAGAGCGCGAGCCCGCAGCGCGACGCCTGTCCATCTTGCCGGAAGACGTTGTTTCGGTATGCGCCGTTGACAAATCGCCAGAGATATGAAGTGATGCAAGAAGAGCTCGAGGAAACGTTCTTTGCACCGGATTCTCGTCGCCGCATGCAGTGGAGGGTGGTGGAGGAAATGAGTGAGATGGCTGCGATGTTTGTCTCGGAGGCTTTGCACGATCAGTCGAGGCAGATTCTTCCAGGCCGTGGGAGCGTGGCGCATGCTCAAATACAACCGTTCTATCGGGCATCGATCTGGTCGGTCGACTATGTACCTGAGGAGCCCGAATTTTCACGACGCCCACCTTTGTGGTACAGCGATTCACAACGCCCATCTACGTCGCCCGAACATTCACCAGTCCCACGTGCGTCGTCTGAATATTCACCACGTTTACCTGAGTCGGAACCAGAGCCCCACGTTCCTCCTCCAACCTCACAAATTCCAGTCTGGTCTTCTGCTGCCTTGCCACAGGTCTTTATTCCAACGCCTACCTCAAGAGGTCACATAGGTTCACTTTCTCAGATACCCCTCTATTCGGTAGAGGAAGAGCCTACCCACACTCCCCCAACCAATCCCGACAATGTAACCCGACTGGCACATCTACAAGACTTCATGACCACCAACTTCACGGTCTCTCACGTGTTCTGCGGTGTCCACACTATACAGCGCATTTTTGATTCCTACATAATCGAGTTTGAGACGGGTGAGAATCATCGCGTACACGGTGCGTTGGGATATGTTATGGCTAGGGACACTGCAATATTTTACGAGTAGCGAGATATATGAGAGGAGGTATGTGAGGGGTCGGGGATGGCATGTTGGCAGTGAAGTAGGGGACGATCTATACCACGTTGGATTTCAAGATGTCCTGCGATTTACGGGCTGGATTACAGGAGTATATATCGTGAAAAAGAGGTTCGTCTTTCATCCACAACCGCGACAGCAAGCCCTTTGTTACAATAGCAAAGCACCAAGGGCTTCCACATACCGTGCAAATTTCGCATTTTCTGAGAACAAACCCGCATGTGAACAGTAATTCACAAGGGTGTCGTCTTAATAGCGACCTGCGCTTCCTCAACACATGTAGTTCTATTTCTCGATCTACTGCTCCTAATAGGACGCAGGTGCTTCTCATAGCAAAATGCGTTAACCCGTAACCTGCGCCTTTGCCCTCTACATCCTCTATTCGAAAAGAGTAGCCCGCATAGTCAATTTGAAGAGATTAGACGGGGCTTGAACAGACTGAGTAGTGGTAGTCTTCTCTTCACGACACTGAGCGTGCGCAAAATACCATGGCCCGCGTCGGCCGCACAGGCCATCGGCGGTGCGAGGGCGAGTCCATCTATCGGAGTCCTGCGAGACCATCCTACGCGATCTCAAGCCACCCATGTACCCTCCATCCACCGCGATCATCGCACAAGAAGCGCTCTGGAAAAACCACAGCCCATACACACCCTCCATGTTCCTGCAGGTCCCTGCATCTCCTCGATCGCGCACCTGCATCTCTTACCTACCACACCCTGCAGCGGCATAGCGCCAGCTCAAGAGCCGCATCGTACTCATTCAGTACCGAATCAAAAGCCTCCTCGCACCCATGTATCGCGTGCGGGTCAATCAATGTACGACTCAATTTCTGCGCGCTTAAACCATGGATCCGCGCGTCTGAGCACATTACAGCCTACGCTGACGCTAGTCTACATCATCACAAGACCCACAATGCGCGGCGCGGCGCGCACCGCCATGGCGCTACAATCGGTTACCGATGAGAAATCTTGACAACGGTGCATAGGCATGAGGGTAGATGTCGACGTGTGTAGTACCCCCACCCCCCCGCGCGAACTGCTTGCGCCTACGCATCGTGTTGTTGTGCTGTTTTGAGCGTGCAAGCTGTAAAGCGTACCAGAGGCGCGGAAAGTCTCCCGAAATAACCGATGAGTTTATTAGGACTATCCTGCAAGGTACAAGCCGCCGAACCATGGGTGAGGAACGGGAGTAGAAGTAGGGCGCGATGGCCGCGCGATAGGCCATGGCAGACACGGACAGTCTCTTGCAGGCTACAACCCAGGGCTTCCTTGCATCATGATTCTGGTACCTACATAACGTGGGTGATTTGGCTGATGGCAGACCCTGGTTCATGATGTAGAAAATCTGGTTGCCCGAGTGGGACAGAGGTACCCCTGATTGGCCGGTATCTTTCGCTATAGCGGCGCCGGCGCTGCGGGCGGGCATGTGTAAGAAATGCCCTTGTACCTACATCATATACTGCCGCTGCTTGTATGATTGGTTACTAAACAAAACTTTGTCCTTGAGATATGTGCATTAACTTCGTGCGTTGTATTTTGGTGATGCATATCTGCAGAACTTTCATCTCGCTTATATCGTGACTCAGAATTCTTGCTCGAGTTCACTGGTCGTCTCCGTTTCTCATCGCTCGCTCCACTTGATGCATGACCTAATGGTCTCTCGATGAGTGCTCGGTAGCTGACGATGTGGTTATATCGTCGATATCGATATGGTACTGTTGTGATGTAACCATTGTTTGGACCGGCGATGTGCTCCACACTGCACTGGCTATCACCATCCGCGCAACGGGGCAGTGCAAATCTCTGCGTACGCCATTGACCGGTATAGCAGTGCACTCTCACGGTCGAGTAGCCGTAATGAAGGACGCAATACTGGCCGAATGTGGCCATCGTGATGCGCAAGACTTGTCAGTGGAGAGTGCAGCCCTTCGCATGGTGAAAAACTCTTGCTGCGACTCATCAACACCAATACATCATCATTGCAGTTCCTTTGGACAACTTGATCCACTTCATCACATTCAGCCACAGCCTGACGATGTCTCCACCATCGCTGCATGACTGAGGTCCCACGTCTAGGAGAATTTGCGGGAATGACTCTTACGGACTGCTACAACACGATGCGAACTATGGTTTTTCTGCTTGGCTTCATTATAATCACATACTGTGTCACTAATTCCATCGAGGACAGATTCATTGCCAAGCAGACAAGGGCTGCCGGTAGTATATCTTCCGTCTGCGCCCTTCCTCTCCTTGATCTCCCATCTCTTCCACCAGACAGTACTTTTAGCAAAGCTTATTCTACTGCCCATAAAAAACCGTCTTCTCTCTCACCAGACAGCAATTTCAGCAACGCCTATTCTACTGCCTAGTCACAACCTTCTTCTCCCCTATAAGATAGTCGCTTCGCCGACATCTAGTCTACTTACCCGCAACCATCTTCTCTCCTTTTCAGCCCCTCTCATCCTACTACCCAACCACCACCACCACCACCTACAACATGGACTCCTCTTCCCACAACATATCGTTCCCTACCTATGACATGGGCTACGACATGAATCCGACGTCGACTCCCGACGTCAATCTTGACGCCCTATTCAACTACACCGTAAGTACCCCCACTCAACACACACACATGTCGTATCACTAACACCTACCCAGACCCCCCAAGACGTCCAACATCCGGTCCAGCAGACCCCCGTTGGAGCCTACACGTCTGTCACGGGTGCCTACGACCCATCAGACACGAACCATGATATGCACCAGACATCCTCGGTACCGGCCTGGGATGACACCCCTTTCTCCAGCGTGAAGACTACATCGACTCGGCAGCCCGCCCCCAAGACGTACGACGTGGCTACCCCTGTAGTTGCCAGGAGTACGCATCCTGTTGCACAGGCGCTGAGAACGCCTGCTGTAGTTGTCACTCACATCGCGGAGAGCGATAGGCAACGGCATCTGATGTCGCATTTTGTGCGTATGCAGTGGCTGCAAGAATATCAGCGACAGCAACAGCAACAGCAACAGCAACAGCCACAGCCACAGCCACAACCACAGGGGCAACCATACCAGCTGCAACCTCAGGGTCAAGTACAGTACCAGTATCAGCCGCTGCAACAACCGCAGTACCCGCCGCAGTACCAGTACCAGCCACAGCAGCAGCCACAGTTTCAGTGGCAGCAACCATACCAGCCACAACAGCAGCAATACTGGCCGCACGTAGAGCGTACTATAGCTGTGAACGATCGTCGTCCCATAATTTTTGTTTCCTCTTACTCATCTTCTTACGCACCACAACCCACCGGCCAAGCTTCCGGCGCACCCATCACACCCGCATCAACACAAAATGCCTTTTCCATGCCAAACACCCCACCCGGCCTTACCCCCAACGCCCCTCTCATCACCATCACCGACGACGACGACAACTCGCCTGCCCCCTCAAACCCCGCACCACACACACCCCCACCAGAACCCCGGGGCACCAAGCGAGCGGCAGCAGCAGCGGATTCAGAACTCGATGAAGTTCAAGCCGCGAAAAAAGCGAAGCGCGAAGAGGAATGGGCCGCGAATCTCCAACGCTACAACATGTACGCCAAGGAGATTGACCTCTCGTACCGAGAAAATAACGTAAACGGGCAGCTTCGCGGTAAAAAGGATCCGTGGTATCAGAAACTCGCGGTTTGGGATGCGTTGCTGAAGGAGCAGGAGGAGGAGAGGGTGAGGCGTGTTGAGGAGGCTGAGGCGAAGAGGGCGAGGAGGAGAAGGGGGAAGAGGAATGCTGGTGGTGGGAATGGGGATGTGGTTGTTGATGGGGGAGTGGCTGGTGGCCGGGTTGAGAAACCTGGGGAGAATGTCGTGCAGGATGTTGCTGGGGGTGAGAATGAAGATGATGAGCTTGAGGCCGAGGTTCGCAGGGGTTTGATGGAGTTTATTGGTGCGGCGTAGATTGCGGAATATGGGGGTTGGAGACGTTATCAAGTCTTACGGCGTGTTCATTTTGGGGTAGTGTATAGAATGCAACTTCTTGATATCCATGACTTCGCCTGTGATGCTTCTCTCCTAATTATTTGGAGTGAAGACGCGCCTTCTCGCTCCACATTCAAGTGTCCATGATGTAATAGAAGTGAGCTGGAAAATCTCGGTGAAACTGTTGCGAAGTCATGTGATCCGTAGCACTTCCATTTGCGTGAAAGCGGATCTGGTTTTCCTACGGGAGCCACGGTTACACGACACTGTGAGCCAGAGGCGCGTCGTAAAATCTGAATAATGCAGTTGTAATGAGTACGTTAAAAGGCGGACGCATCGTTGTGTCACATAAGACGATCTGATGAGCCTTGGTTAGCGTTGACCATCCAAGGGTCCTCTTTCTTCCGCCCCACACGTGCTATTGTAATACCGCCAGTGCTGCCCTGCCTATTGTACGAAAATATTCCTCGCTTTGCCCCGCCTACACTACACCCACAACTGTTATAAGAGCTGCCCCTCTGCAACCCACTGCCCTCCCAACCCATCACACACACAACTCTTGATACACCATTCGGTCTACATACCATCTAGACCATCAACCGTCTACAGACGATAGCACATCAAGACGCATACAAGCACCTCAAACACATCACATACACCCTCAAAAACTACCATGTTCCGCAACGAGGGCATCGTCGACATGACCAGCACTGTCCTGCACGGCACGTCGGCGCCCGTCCCCTCTTTTCAGCGCGTCATCCCATACGGCGCGGGTGCGGTGGAGGCGGCAGACGAGCGCTTGCTCGAGGAGGTCAAGGCTCGCCGTCTCGCTCGCTCACAAGCCAAGGCCCGGCATCAAGCAGTCCGCCCAGCAGCCAAGGGTCAACAAGTCGCCCGCACTGGTGTCGCAGCCCAGCAGTAAGTCGCCCGCGCGCGCGAGACCAGCAGCCAGCCCATGCTGCCGATCGACCGAAAACTCGCCAAAGCACAAGCCCGCCGCGAGCATCTCGAAGAGGAACTGAAGAAGGCCGTGGAGGAGGAGAAGACACTGGAGCGGAAGAAGGCGAGGATGATGGAGTCGGAGAAGACGAAGAAGTAGCTTGAGAAGGCGAAATTAGAGAAAGAAACCAAGCAGAACACAACCTTCGCTCGGGTCACGAAGTCAGCCGGAGGAAAGCCTACGGGCATCGCGAAGCCTGCACCGACTTCGCGCAGGACAACCTTCGCGCGGGTCTTGGAGGAGGCGGCTGGAAAGCCTACGGGCAACTAGAGGGGTTGTTCGAATGACGGGGATATTTGTGAAGACGCGACAGATGGAAATTGAGATGTGCCTACTACAGTGGCTGGATAGATGACAAGTGCGATGAACTACCTTTGTAGATGTGAGTACGATATGCGTCAAGCTTAGTTCTTGGACGCGATTACCGATGCTGTTTACTCCTACCCACCTCATGTGATGTCCGAATAGCCTTGCTGGCCGTGTACATGTTTTCTAGGCTACTTGGTATGTTGATGGAAGAGGTGAGGTTTGCCGGCTGTTACCGGCAGCGGGCGAGACGTCTGTGCGTGTGCATTGGCGTCATGACGGCGTAGTGCACCTCGGCAACGTAATGCAACACACCATCTCTGCCATCTTGTCGCATTCACATTCACATCACAGCGCTCGTTTCGTCAACATCGAATACCCGTGCTGCCGTTCATTTTTGTCTTTTCCCTATCACGCCCACTCACCCAACACCCTTCAACCCCGCGGCGCAAATCCGATATCGCGAGCTCAGTTGTTGGATATCGACGACTTAAAGAAGCAGGCACTCGACCCCAGATTCGCGATAGCAGCTTGATCGTGCATAGTACTCGTATTCGCTGCAACCTTTCCCAAGTTAGCGCGACTAGGCGAAGCTCGGAAGGTGGCACTGCCAACGTCAGACGCAGAAGGACTGCAGGGCAGCTTACCATCTGTCCAGTAGAGAATCCATTATTATTACCGAAAAAGCTTAAATCCATCCCGGCGCAGGGTATAAATGTATTGACATCTGTGGCCGTACCCCGCTTAAGCTTCCGCCACCCAAGCTTGAACACCCAAGTCCCCTTCTCCCCTTCCAAACCACAGCAGACGACATTCGCCATGTTGCAACACTACAATATGGAACTTCGGTTCCTCGAAACGCAAAGTCCGGGACCGCAGCTAACTAGGCCGCCTCTCCTTACTCTTCCGTCGGAGCTGCTTCATCAAATACTCGGCTACCTTAGTCTCTCGGACGTGCTGTCAGTGGGCCTGGTGAACAAAGTGCTACAGGAACACACCGTCCAGGATAATCTCTGGCAGTCATTTGTCGAAGCCGAGATTCCCCGCCCGGATGTCATCAAACCTCCCCGTTTGACATGGCGAGAGTTGTTCCGACAGCACCACCCATATTGGTTCATCGCAAGAAATAAGATTTGGTTTTCGGATACGCCGAATACGGGGAAGCTTCTTGTGGCAAGATACGACCATAGACTGAATGCAATCGAAGCCTATGCACTTGTTGCGGAACGACAGATTCCCGTGGCGTTGTCTTGGGCCAACCATCCCGAGGCCATTATTCACACTTTTAGTCCACGGGTACAACTTGACCTTAATGCGCCTGTCGTCCGACTCAACCGGGACGCCTACGAAGACGCTGTTGGAGATATGGGCTATCGTCTACAGAAAGAAATACCAATGAGCTTATACCGCGAGAGGCCTGGGCAGAATGCAGGTGTATTCTCGCGGCTCATGCTCACTCGACCTTGGCCAAAAGACATCACGACGAATTCGACGCCCATATGGCCGCCGCTCACACTACCTAGTGTCGACCGGACGCGCAATGACTACGTACCATCTGGGTTTAGACAGCCCGGGCAAAAGCCAGCACAACTGGATGAGCTCTCAACATCAAATTTCAGATTGCGCAAGTGGATGCAGTTTTCGACAGAATCCCTCGGCATGAGGATGCGCATTGGCGAGGACATTACGACGTGGGCGACATTGCCGGAGGAGTGCTACATCCCGACGCCACAGAAGCCGTGGCAGGGGATTTGGTGCGGCGACTATGCCGGGCATGGCTGCGAGTTTCTTGCCATTATGCAGCCGGATAATCCCAAGCCCCTGCCCGAACGAGCGGAGTGGGTCATGCGAAGTAGGTATCGAGAAGACAGCGTCAGCAGTGGTGGATCGTGGACAACGGCGCCGACTGATACGGCAACATCGGAGGGTGGTGATGAGGAAGTGGAGAATGCAGGCGATCTAGAAGACAGCGTCGCTACCCTCCAACAAGCCTATCACGAACAAGACCTAGATTCCCCTACCTCGGCAAGTCCTGCTGACCAAGACGAAACAATCTACCGCGGTCGCATCGAAGCTGTCAAACTAACAGGTGACCCAAACATTCCCCGGGGTGAATACACGTTCATCGCTCCGGATATCGGTCCAAACGGGCTGATCAGAGTTGCTACCGAGGAGATTTTCAAGGGTGCGAGGATCGTGAAGAGTGTTGGGCATATTGCGGCTACAGGGTTTAGAGATGGTGAGTTTATTGGTACTACATGTGTCATATTACAGTTGCTAACGTTGGTAGACGACTATATGTCGTCGCAGCTTATTCTTATCAATCATGATCGCATTGCGCAGTACTGGGAGACTTTTGGTCATGTATCGTTTTATCAGCGGGTGGATGTTGATGCGTTTACCAGGGTGGCGTGAGATAGTGGGCATGGTAGTGTGAAAGAGTCACTGTAGTTGCTAGATATGTCGTTGGGTGCTTACACGCACTGTGCAGTGTTTTGTGACATGTAGGTACGTTCATGAGTGTGACTTGAAATGGGTTGAGGGGGCTCGGGTGGTCATCTTGATGGAGACTATGTGTGTTGTATTTGGATACATGGAATCTACAGCGTTAAAGTCATCGAACACCAACTTTTCGAGATGACAAAAAGGTCCTGGATTACCCTTTTTTCATCTCAATTCCATTGAAATGCCTTCCTAGAATCAGTTTCCAACGTCTGCTTTTGCGTGCAGGCGTTGTGGCGGGCGCGCTGGCCGCTGCAACTTTGACAGAGTTGTTACCTGGCCTTAGTTGAGAGAAATCTCTGCAAATGGCCCGTGCGCCAACTGATTTTAGATGTTCGATCGAAGGCACCCTCTACGAAACCGACAGAGCAACGGCTCTTCCTTAGGTATGTATCTCTATTGCTGCAAAGTAATAGGCCTATATATCTAGATGCTACCTATACCCGAACGCCCTAAACCAACTCGATATACCGACCCCATATACCGAACCGCTCCAGCACCTGCTGTCACCAGCACACTCACGAGCAAAACACCGACCAGGCACTAGATGTATAGATCTATTATCTCTCTTGTAGATCCCTATATACAGACGCCTACACCAAATACCCTCTCTACCGAACGCCCTAAACCGACTCGATATACCGACCCCATATACCGAACCGCTCCAGCACCTGCTTTCACCAGCACACTCACGAGCAAAACACCGACCAGGCACTAGATGTATAGATCTATTATCTCTCTTGTAGATCCCTATATACAGACGCCTACACCAAAAGCCCTCTCCACCGAACGACCTAAACCGACTCGATATACCGACCCCATATACCGAACCGCTCTAGCACCTGCTTTCACTAGCACACGCACGAGCAAAACACCGACCAGGCACTAGATGTATAGATCTACTATCTCTCTTGTAGATCCCTATATACAGACGCCTACACCAAATACCCTCTCCACCGAACGCCCTAAACCGACTCGATATACCGACCCCATATACCGAACCGCTCTAGCACCTGCTTTCACTAGCACACGCACGAGCAAAACATCGACTAGGCAATAGCTGTATAGGTCTATTATTGTTAGGTTATAATAGATTCCTGTATACAGACGCCTACACCAAAACGCCCAAAACATCGACTAGGTAATAGCTGTATAGATCTATTCTGTCTTGTAGATCCCTATATACAGACGCCTACACCAAATACCCTCTCTACCGAACGCCCTAAACCGACTCGATATACCGACCCCATATACCGAACCGCTCCAGCACCTGCTTTCACTAGCACACGCACGAGCAAAACATCGACCAGGCAACAGCTGTATAGATCTATTCTCTCTCTTGTAGATCCCTATATACAGACGCCTACACAAAACAACAGACAGACACTGTATAAAACTACAAACAATATTTCTTTTCGCAAAGAGCTCGCTGTTACATCTCTTTCTGTTCACCACACTGCTCTTTAGCACCCGCGCCAATGGAAGACTAGCTCGGAAATTGGACTACGCAACTATCCTCCAAATTGTACAAGACCTATAGAAACTCCATATTGAACAACATACATAGAACGGCTTAGCCAAAGTCCTACATAGTCACCGACTGATACAGGACTCTAATGGAAATATAATAATAATAATAATACAGCGTTAAAGTCCTTACACATACCATGCAGCTGCGTTGTCAGTATAACTAGACAAGTTATTAACATCTCAGCGTTACTGCATACCCTTTTGGTTACTCTTATCAATTAACGTACAAATTAATGTTGGACTGCAAGTTTCACATCCTCCACGCTCAACAAGACAGCTGCATCGTCATGCGGGCCCATGATCTGCCCGCATGCGCCATACGACGCTATACCTATCTCATCCTAGCGTATGCAATCCCTGCTTCCGCGGCCTCGAACGTCATCGGCCATCACCAAAATTTGGGCAGTGGCAGGAGGGCACGACGGGCAACCCCACCAACCCACCAACACTCATTGTGAGCACGGATACCGGATATCCAAGTTACAAGCACCTTGTCAAGAAGTCTATCAGT